GAGTTTGAGGATTTTCTCATGTACCCAATTTTTAGATTTTGACCAAATTTATATGGGACCACCCCTGAACTAGCCCCTTTCTAACAAAAAAAGAATTATAGAAATCGGACACCGTGTTAAAGAATTATCGCTGAACATACATAAAAAAAAAAATATCGCGACGAATTGATAACCTCCTCCTTTTTTGAAGTCGGTTAAAAAAGAATAATAAAAATCAAGCAACTTTACAAAAAAATTATCGCTGAACATACATAGGTACGTACATAAAAAAAAATACTCCGACGAATTGAGAACCTCCTTTTTTTGAAATCGGTTAAAAATTAAATTTTAATTACTAGTACGATTTTTTGATAGAAAAAACACGAGAAAACTGCATTTATGCTTTCTAATCATCGTTTTAATTCCTGTAATCGAACGAGGTGTTTACGCAAGTAAAATTACGAACTATTAGCATTGACAGGAAATGCTAAGTTAATGACATGTAGAGGTCTTTGAAATTTTAATATTCGTTCATGAGATTTGAGCGGATGTAACCGAAGAAGCCAACGCATGCAAAATGCTTTTTATATTAGAAAATCCGCACTTTTTTTATTTATATACACGGTAGATACGTAATTACCAATCTCGAAATCCGTAGCTTAATTACTTGAGAAACAGTTTAAAGTTTGTTTTTTGCTTTTTTCCTCATTATAAGTAATTACTTAACTTAAAGAAAGAGCGTAAACAATTTTTACGATAATTTTAAAATGACTTCGTAGCTATTTAGTAATTAAGAACTATTGCACGACTCACAAATGATTTTATTCTAAACGATACAATAATAAATATATTTTATTATTATTATTTTTTCTCAACCAAAAAATGAAGGATTGAAGTATTACAGTACAAAAGTTTTTGATAAAAATATAAAACTATCAATAAAAAAATGTAGTTTTGTATAATTGTTAAAAATAAACAAGTTAGTATATTAAAAATGGTTTATGGTATATAAAAGTAATTTTTTTTCATTTTTACCGACTTATCGGGTTTTCGCCCTGTACTCTCTATATAATTTTCTTACTGTTTACTAAATATCAGTTTATTTTAAAAATAATGTTTTTATTTGGATAGCATTTTAAAAACCAAAACAAAAATACTCTAATTTTAAACCATTACTTTTCAAAATTCGAGATAACAAAAATAATTTCTCATTGCCACTGTGCTAAAGATAACGCCAAATTTGTTATAAACTAATACAATGTCAGAATATAATAATTTAATTAAATAAAATTTAATAAAATGGCGATAACATGTCAGTTGTCAGTGTAGTTACATTCATTACATTAATTTAAATACATTCACGTTATATTAATATTAATAAACATTCGTTTGATAAATATACAGAGTATTTAAAGGATTATTTCAGTAACACAAAATATGCAGTTTATTAAATATATTTCTCTAAGGTTACGACTCAAATAATAAGTTCAAAGCGTCTTTCATTACATCATGATTAATTTTTGTAAGTACGGACCTGCATTTTGTTAAAAAAAAACCGCACGTCTTGCAAACAGACTGAACAAATGCGCGATCGTGTGGTCGGCAATACTTTCAAAAGTTAAAAAAAAAACAGTCTCGTATTTAAAAAAAACTCGAAACGTTAGATTGATCTACAGAAACATAAGCTCTGCTTATAGTAAAATAAAAGACCTCTAAGTACCTATACCATTTTTTGATATTCTTGTAAATGAAGATATTATTCAGAATTTTTTTTTTTATTTGAATTTTTTGACTGCGGGAACTGAGTCCATTGGCCAAACCACATTACCATTTAGAATGTTCAGATTTATTCAGTTTTCCTCAAATATTCTTCAAACCGGACCTATTCTTAAACTTCAAAATATCAGTAAGGTATTTTCATTGACTTCAAACAAATTGACAGAACAAGAAAGAATAGAAGAAAGAGTTTAAAAAAAATTGTTTTACTCAAATGATCTAGTTCATATTCATAATATTGTATAATTTAAAAACAATTATCCGCAAAATATTGTACAACAATTAAATCCATTCATGTATCAAAATAATAATATTTACACTTACTGTTTGCAAACAATTGTTACGCAATTTTAAAATTATGTAATACTGAATTTATAAATCTCTTCTGCGATTGTTATAACTTTCCATGAGATAAAACTGCAATTATCTCTCATTATATGTTCATTTCTATTTTTATTGATGTTATTAACTAAGTGAACCCAGAAACACCTGTATATTTATCTGTTTATATTTAAATATTATATAAATCATCAAAACTATATCAGTCACATCTTTTTCAGGACATTAACATAACATTCAATAATAATATTATTATATCTAATTTACCACCAATTTACAGAATCATGAAATGTCTAAAAAATCCCGCACACCGCTTATGGAAAAGTGTCATAAATTTTTATTATGTCAAATCCTATGACTGGTTTTTGAGATACAGGGTGTTAAACTTAAGAAATACCACGTATTTGATAACGGTTATTTCAGGAGAAAGCTAATCGATTATAATTTTTGTGCCAAATTTAATTGTAACATCTTTTGAGATTTTACGAATATAAAAAGGGGTCAAAAATTATTCTCCTTTACAAGGTGAGCCATAAATAAGTAAGAATATGTTTTTAATAATTACTTTTATTGTTCTAGAACAGTGGTCGCCAACCTGTCGATCGCGAGCTACCGGTAGCTCGCGGAGGCAATTCTGCACAAAAAAAGAAACCTTATGAAGACGGGGAAATGATAAAACAGGCGTTTTTAGAAGCTGCTGATTCGTTATTTGCCAACTTTAGAAATTAAAACGAGATAGTTTCAGCTATAAAATATATGCAACTTTCTGCTAATACAGTGAGGAGACGTGTAGAAGTAATAAGCAATGATATTTTTTTACAGTTAAGAACTGACTTAGATAACTGTGTTTATTTTTCACTTCAACTGGATGAATCAACAGTTGTCGTTGACACTGCCCAGATGGCCGTGTTCGTCAGGATGGTTTTTAGTGATTTTACGAATAAAGAAGATCTTTTGAAGTTTATTCCACTTAAAGGACACACTACTGGACAGGAGTTGCTTTCTCATTTAAAAAATATTATTTCTTCCGAGAAAATTCCAATATCGAAAATGGTAGGCTTGACAACCGATGGCGCTCCAGCTATGGTGGGTTGTGATAAGGGTCTGGTGGGTTATGTCGCAAAGATGAAACTTTTCCGCAATTTCTCTGTTACCACTGCATTATCCATCAGCAAGCATTATGTGGAAATTTCCTGAAACTAAACAACGTTATGAAACTGGTGGTAAAAATTGTGAACAAGATTAGAGCTCAAGCGTTACAAAGAAGATTATTCAAAACCTTGGCCGATGAAGTTGACTGTCAATACGGGGACCTACTCCTTCACTCTGAAGTCCGATGGTTAAGTAGATGACGGGTGCTGAAACGTTTTAATGATGTCCTATCTGGCATAGTTCAATTTTTCAAACAACGCGATGAACCGACTCCAGAACTAGAAAATTCAATCTGGCTTAGAGATTTTGGTTTTCTCGTGGACATTACAGAGAAATTAAACGAACTTAATTTGCAGCTTCAGGGGAGAGACAAAGAACTAGCGGAAATGATTTCTGTTATAAAAGCATTTATCAAAAAGCTGGAGTTTTGGGAACAAAACCTAATTAACAGCGATGCCAAGCATTTTCCTATTCTTTCAGAAAAAATATCTCAAAATCCATTAGAACCCTATGACAGCAAATATTATGTAGAAATAGTTTCTACCCTGAAGAATAACTTCAAAAATCGTTTTAAGGATTTCAACGAAATAGCTTTAGTAGCGCAGTTTGTTGTTTCACCCTTTATGGAAATTGATATCCAACAGTTTGCAACTTGTGTTATGCAGAACTTTGACGAAGACATCGCTGCAACATAAATGAAAGTAATTGAGTTTCAAAATGATTTAGCCTTAAAATCGTTGGTCTCAAGTACCAAATGTATCTGGCCTATTGTAAATAAAGACAAATATTCAGTTCTATGCCGTGTTGCCTTGAAAGTGAAAGCATTATTCAGTTCAACCTATTTGTGTGAATCTTCTTTTTCCAATATGAAGTTTATTAAGAACAAATATCGCAATCGACTTACAGATGAACATTTGGATAATTGTATTCGAATGGCTGTATCAAATTATACTGCAAACATTAAAAAAAATATCGATGAGTTTGAGTGTCAGCCTTCTCATTGAACGTGCTTTTTTATTTTTCAATGTTTATGTTCATGATAGTGCGTTCTTTTTTGTTGTTATTATTAACTATTTTTAAATCTTACGTGACATGCCATTGTGGCTGGATAAAAGTTTGTTTTTATTTTTCAAACACCTTCGTTTGGTAGGTAGGAATGTAGCTATGAACAAGTACGTACTAGTAATATTAGTTATTTTGTTATTAGTTTATTTTTAGTACCTATGTATTATGTATTACCAGTTAAATAGTAAAATAAATACATTAACTGTGGATTATTTCAGTTACGTTGCGTTACGTGGCTTCCGTGTGGGTAGCTCGCTGTTTATTCCAAAATTAACAAAGTAGCTCAACACATTGAGAGGTTGGCGACCACTGTTCTAGAACAATAAAAGTAATTATCAAAAACATGTCCTTACTTATTTGTGGCTCACCCTGTAGAGGAAAATAATTTTTGATCCCTTTTTATATTCGTAAAATGCCAAAAGAAGTTAGCTTTCTCCTGAAATAATCGTTATCAAATAAATGGTATTTCTCAAGTTTAACACCATGTATCTCTAAAACCAGTCGTATGATTTGAATGGTCCCGTGGACACTATTGCTTTAGAGGTCGAGAACTGCAACATATCAAAAATTTATGACATTTAACAGATCGCCATAAGCGGTGTACGGGGTTTTTTTATTACAAATATCACTTTAAGTATCTTATTAAATAAATAGGTATTAATGTTTTAATAAGACATATTTGCTGTATGGCTTATTTGTGTATCTGGTATAAACTGTTAATTATTTTATTTAGTAACGATATTGGTGGCAATACATACTCTTTACCATTCGTCAGATCTTTTAGTATCATTCCGAAAGTTAGCGAGTAGCAATTGACTTTGCCTATTCGCACCCTTGCTTCTAAAGTGACACAACTCAAAATAAACATATTTCGAGTTAATACCATGAATTGTGATTAATAAACAACCCTACATCAATCATCAAACTTATTTTAACATCATCTAGAAGGTGTCTATATAATTTTTGAGATTTGATTCGTAGTTTTGGGGATGCATTCATGGTATTAGTTCAAAATATATTCATTTTGAATTGTGCAACTTTCGAAGCAAGAGTGCGAATTAATACCCAGAGACGTAATGTCAAACTGGAGCATAGCATATCTAACAATTCAGCAGAAACACTTCGATTTAGACAGTATAAGTAGATGTAAATTAGCTCACGATCGAATGGACCTTGACGCCATTGTGGAAAGATAAAAGTAAGATATTAATGGCTATCAGTTTATTTTTTTGATTGCCCAATTGTTTAATATGTCGTGAAACCAAAAACCCTTTTTTCAGTAATATTTTTGATCGCATCTATCGAAAAAATCTCTCTTTAAACTCTTCACTGTCATGTCAGTATCATTTTGCATTCATCTGAATCTTTTACCTCGGATTCCTCCAAATCCGACAATAATACTTGTAACGTCCAAAATTCAGTCTGTGACAATGCGATAAACATTGTCGTATAATATCGTATAACTGTCTTCAATATGAAGACATTTGGCATTTAGATTTAAAAGTACTTATCTATACTAATTAGATCAATCACTCCCTCATTTTTGACTTTGGTTAATGGCGGATTGAACATACTAGCCAAAGGGGAGTCCGTTAAATCGATTATCTTAGGATAACTACCGTTTTTAAACATTTCTTCGCTTAATTTGTATACCCCAGTGTGGGCTAACGCAAGATATTCAAGTTTCTTGATAGGAACGAAACTACCATCGGGTATAGAAAACAAAACATTCGAATTCATAACCAGATATCTCAAATTCGGTAGCTTGTTAAACGTAACCTCAAAAATCTGATCTATCCGGTTGTCGCTCAGAATCAACGTTTCCAAAGAATTCGAATACAAAAAAGGTCTATTACGAAATCGAATTCTATTACCGCTTAAATCTAATTTACGCAACTTGAAATTTGACTTGAAGGTATTCAATTCCAAACCTGTGACGTTGTTCTCTTGCAAATACAAGTCTTTTAGTTGTTTCAAGTCTTTAAAAGCTCTTTTACTAACTGTAGTTATTTGGTTTCGTCGTAGATGTATCGTTTGTAACTCTACGAATCCTTTGTAGGCGAACACGAAAGGTGGCAAATCGGTTATTTTGTTGAAGCCGAAATTGACCATGCGGATACTGGCGGATCCTTGGGGTATGCTCGTAAGTCCTCTGTCCATTTGGTTGAAATAAACTGGATAATCGGTTGTGGTTTCCAATGGTTTTGGTTCAGTACGTCCGAGCGTGAGTGTTGCTGTTAATCTGTAAAAAAAGCATCAATAAATAAATTGGATTTAATATAAAATCATCGCCACACTCCCGTGTTGAAATTTCAAAATGTGGTATATTTCTACAGTTTTTCATAATATTTATGTAAATTTTAAAGTCTGTAGATTAGTTATTTTGGAAAGGGTAATAAAATAAAGCAACAATGTCAAATTGTTCAAAAATTCAACTTTGACACCCTGTAACTTCAAAACTTGGTGAAACTTCAAAATTTGGTCTTCAGAAATATATTCCTACAGGTTTTTCTAATATTTCCATAAATTTTGAAGTGTGTAGATTTATTAGTTTGGAAATGGTCATGAAATAAAGCAACAATCTTAAATTGTTAAAAAAATCAAATTCAAATTTGACATCCTGTAACTTCAAAACTTCTTGAAATTTCAAAATGTGGTCTTTAAAAATAGGTTTCTACAGTTTTTCTTAATATTTTTGTAAATTTTGAAGTATGTAGATTAATTACTTTGGAAATCGTGATGAAATAAAGGCAACAATGTCAAATTATTAAAAAATCCAAATTCAACTTTGACACCCTATAACTTTAAAACTTGGTAAAATTTCAAAATAAGATCTTCCAAAATATATTTCTACAGTTTTTCTTAATACTAATTTAAATTTTTAAGTCTGTAGAGTAATTAGTTTGGAAATAGTGATAAAATATAAACAACAATGTCAAATTGTTAAAAAATCCAAGTTTAATTTTGACACCCTGTAACTTCAAAACTTGGTAAAACTTCAAGATAAAGTCTTTAGAAATATATTCCTACAGGTTTTCTTGATATTTCCATAAATTTTGAAGTTTATATATTAATTAGTTTAGAAATCGTGATGAAATAAAGGCAACAATGTCAAATTATTAAAAAATCCAAATTCAACTTTGACACCCTATAACTTTAAAACTTGGTAAAATTTCAAAACAAGATCTTTCAAAATATATTTCTACAGTTTTTCTTAATACTAATTTAAATTTTTAAGTCTGTAGAGTAATTAGTTTGGAAATAGTGATAAAATATAAACAACAATGTCAAATTGTTAAAAAATCCAAATTTAATTTTGACACCCTGTAACTTCAAAACTTGGTGAAACTTCAATATAAGGTCTTTAGAATTATATTCCTACAGGTTTTCTTAATATTTCCATAAATTTTGAAGTTTATATATTAATTAGTTTAGAAATCGTGATGAAATAAAGGCAACAATGTCAAATTATTAAAAAATCCCAATTCAACTTTGACACCCTATAACTTTAAAACTTGGTAAAATTTCAAAATAAGATCTTCCAAAATATATTTCTACAGTTTTTCTTAATACTAATTTAAATTTTTAAGTCTGTAGAGTAATTAGTTTGGAAATAGTGATAAAATATAAACAACAATGTCAAATTGTTAAAAAATCCAAGTTTAATTTTGACACCCTGTAACTTCAAAACTTGGTAAAACTTCAAGATAAGGTCTTTAGAAATATATTGCTACAGGTTTTCTTAATATTTCCATAAATTTTGAAGTTTATATATTAATTAGTTTAGAAATCGTGATGAAATAAAGGCAACAATGTCAAATTATTAAAAAATCCCAATTCAACTTTGACACCCTATAACTTTAAAACTTGGTAAAATTTCAAAATAAGATCTTCCAAAATATATTTCTACAGTTTTTCTTAATACTAATTTAAATTTTTAAGTCTGTAGAGTAATTAGTTTGGAAATAGTGATAAAATATAAACAACAATGTCAAATTGTTAAAAAATCCAAGTTTAATTTTGACACCCTGTAACTTCAAAACTTGGTAAAACTTCAAGATAAGGTCTTTAGAAATATATTGCTACAGGTTTTCTTAATATTTCCATAAATTTTGAAGTTTATATATTAATTAGTTTAGAAATCGTGATGAAATAAAGGCAACAATGTCAAATTATTAAAAAATCCCAATTCAACTTTGACACCCTATAACTTTAAAACTTGGTAAAATTTCAAAATAAGATCTTCCAAAATATATTTCTACAGTTTTTCTTAATACTAATTTAAATTTTTAAGTCTGTAGAGTAATTAGTTTGGAAATAGTGATAAAATATAAACAACAATGTCAAATTGTTAAAAAAATCCAAATTCAACTTTGGCATCCTATAACTTCAAAACCTGTTAAGATTTAAATAACAGTAATCTGGTCATCGATCACTTCGCTAGCCAACAATCCAGAAAAATGGACTTCAACTATAAGAAATAGTATACAACTGCAGCGGTACCTAGGAGTTGGTCTTCAAAATTGTATAATATTTAATTTGTTTTGAAATATATTTAATTTTCATTAAACTTGTTCCACTGCCGCTAGTGCCCACGAGCCGCCACTGTGTATAGCTGCAGTATTTCTGGCTTCTAACGTGTCGAGTCTTTCATTAACGCGTTCAAAATTTTTCATGGTACTCTGTATAAGAGTGTAATATAGTTAAATCTGTCGTTAATGAAGCACTGGTCCATTTTGAGCTATTTATGACAAAGAGAGTCCAGATCTGACAGGGTTTGGATCAATCGCTTTTGGTTTCTTGGCTTTCGAGAACATCTCTTTAACAATAGTACATCCTCTGTAATTTGCAGGATGAGCTTAGCAAAAATATGTTTTGAAAACTTCAAGGCATAAGCTTATATTTATTTTTAAAAACGTAGATGATCAATCTGTATAACTATCTATATCGTTGACCCTGTCAAATCATCAGGCGCCCACAGTGTTGCCATATCATAACCTATCATGTGCCTGTCACTGGCCTGTCATTACCTACGAGCAACCATTTTGTTTTATAACAATTAAATATAAATTATCAATCATTTCAAATTCTTAAAGGTCAAAAACTTTAATCAAATTTAAATAAAATAAGTATGTATTAATAAATAATTGGCAAATAAGATGTAAAAAAAATTAAATTCATGAAATTATTATATAATTTAAATTACTAAAATATAAGGTTATTTTAAGATATTTCAATTCCTCAATCTGAATTAATAATTATTAATTAAATTTGTAATTGAATGAAATGAAAAGAAAAAAATAAATAAAAATATATTTTTAGGCAGATAAAGTCACAAATTAGTATTCGAAAAAAAGTTTTTTTATATAAAAATGTAAAATAAGATAACCCTAATTAGTACAATTAATACTTATTAATAATAAATAGTAAACAATTATATATAGTTCAATTCAAGGTCACGAAAGCAATTCAAAAAAAAATAGTTTATGATCATAGGTTATTTTTCACAGAAAAGTGATGCCGAATTAAATCTTATCTAAACAAAAGGTATTGTTAGGAACCGTATCATTATTTATTGCAGAGATGTCTTCAACTACCGGACCAAGGAGAACATAAGGGCAATAAAGCTGCTGACTTACTAGCCCAAGAAGGAGCCTCAAAGGTATAATATTTCAAAAATGTCACTAAGACAGCCATTAGAACATGCACAAGGCAGTGGATAATAATACTCTCCCTAATCAATCCCCTTACGAGTAAATTTTAACTTCAAAAGCTGAGCTTGTCCGGGGAAAGGGACGGCTATTATTATTATTTATCGTGGCTCTCCGGGGCGACTTAAAACTGATTGATGGTGCCATTTGACTCACAGGTGAGAAAAGCCCGGAAAACCCCACCCACTATCATTAAAACGAATCTCATTAATTTAGAACAGACCAGTCAGGTTATAAAAGACCATCGTCAAAAGTTAGCGAGGGTCTACTAAGACAGAAAAGGAAAAATACTAGAGTTTAGTAGAAGTAACAGACATAATATGTATAATATTGATTTGACAGAGGAGACCTTGGGCCGATGCTGTCAAGACGAGACATGTATTATCTCAAATAGTATAGAATGAACTGTAAACTAAGACTATTATTATAATATTATATAGGTGATTATAGATTTTCACTTGTGTGATTTGGAAGTCGTTATTTAGAACAAGTGTTACTCGGGCGCCAGTTTTGATTAAGCAGTTTGCTCTGCATCCAGAGTGCACTCAAAATAACCTCAGTGGAGTCAGTATCGCCAGATGGTCGTTTACGTGTGGGGTAGTATTTGCGTATCGGGTATTATTTGATTTAAGAAATTTACTCTTTTTGTGGGTAAGTAATTGGTTCCTCTGCATTTTCAATAAAATGAAAAAAATGAAGAAATATATCCTATTAACACATACCAAAATTGAAAATAATAAAAGTACTTATCAAAAAATTTAAGCAGTTACGGACTATGCTCATACTATGAACTTTTCTTTATAAAATGACCCGAGAGGTCACACCCTACAATATTAGCATACCATTAAAAAACACCCTGTATAAATTGTACAAACAGGAAAGCCATTTTGAATTTTTAAAAAGTAATTTATGATCTGTTATCTTTAATAAGAAACCAATTTTAGTCGAAATCTGCTGACTTTTAAAAATAAATGTTTTTTTTTACTGCTCACCCTGTATATATCTGACCGGAAGTATAACCGGTTTTGAGACAAGAGAAAACCTTACTTGTATACAAAATTTGAAGTTTTTGTCGTAAGCCGTTTTGAGCTATCGCGCCAACAGACAGACGGCAGACAGCGGACGGCTGACAGACAGACGGAATGGGGAAAACATGTTTTTCGTAATCTAGGGACCCGAAAACGTGAAAATCTAAATTTTCACGATTACAATACTTTTCTTTTATCTAGGGAAGTAAAAATAAAATGAGTATACTCAATCTCTTGAATGCTCCTCTACTATTTTGAAATGATAAATTTTACTATTCCACAATTCACAAAGACACCGCTGACTTCCAGACTTAGAAAACACAGTTGTCAAAATGCAAAAAAAGTCATATGTTCAATTCCATTACAGCTAAACGACTGTGTACGTTTAGCGCATAGTACCCTTCGAGCAAATATATTCAGAGCGAGTATAGCGTAAATATTTTATGCCTGGCATCGTTGTACGACAAGCACGTTTAGGTCTAATTAATGTTGAACAGCTTAATTTTTGCGTCTTCCTATTGGCTGAATTGAGCCTTTCTCAAATTTCTATTTGTAGTTCTGTAAAGGCTCCTCCAAATAGAGGAAAACGTATTATAACATGCCAGTAATGAAAACGGTTTTGTGTCGAGTTGCTTGCTATATTTTGAGTTGTTCAGCAGATTATCACCAAGATATGACATCTACTTTGTTCGAGAAATGGTTTGGTTAAAAATTAATTCCTAATTTGTCACCAAATAGTAAATGGATAATGCCCCCTACCCCTCTCATCAAACTAGTGAAATTCCAAAAGCAAAAGCTCAAAAAGAGGTAATTTTCGCGTTTTTGGACAGAATGAGTGTATCATATTCACCTACAGCTTTAAAAAAATATTTGCTTGCAATATTGAAAGGCTTAAATCTCAAACCTAGCTATATTGTGGATGAGATGGTTACGGCATTTGGTCATACCGTAATACGCTTACCACCGTATTATTGTACATTTAATGTAATAAAATTCATTTGGAGTAACATCGAAAGGAAGGTCAGAAAAAAATGTTAATCTTGTTGTTGGAGGTATATATCAAGAAGTATGGTCCAATTGTGTTCTCCATGTTACCAATATTGAAAATAATCATCGAGTATTTCCGGCTCATTCTTGCATTACAAACGTCAAGTGAAGATGATAGTTCTGATGAGATTTGATTTTCCATTTTGGTTATATTTTTACTTTATTAAACGTAACCATCTATCTGTATGTTTACGTTATTTTGGAAAGGAATATGATATTGTGCCTGTTTTCAGTTTCTAGGAATGTAACCTTATGGTGAGAAGGCTTGCGTGCTTTAATCAGTTTAGAAATTAAAGCCAAACTAATACATTCCAAAATCTTTTAAATTTCTTATAATAAAAGGATACAAATAACAATTGTTCAAGCATTTTTCGTAACATCTTACATTGATTTTTAATATTCAATGTAATATTTAAATACTTCAATTAAATCAAATAAATGAAAATAATATAGTTTCATGGTGATTTTGATTACAATTTCCGAATATTTATTTCGGATTAATTTGGCATTTAAAACTAAATTTAGTAATATTTATGAAATACTTAATTGACTGGAACTGGAATAAGTTTTTATGACCAAAAATGACCTATAAATATCCCAAATATCTCTAGAATAATCCTGAACATTATTCCCAGAATGTCTTAGATTTTCCCATTCATATATTCCAAGAATATTACCAGCATCATTTATGTATTCGAAAGATATTATTAGAACCATTCATTGATCTAAAAATCATATTCATGATATATACGACGTAGATCCAGTGCTATTTAAGGTACCACGGTGAAGGTCTATCAAGACTGAGATTATCCACATTTGGAAAAGGAAACCAAGTCCCTTGTCTATTAGAAGAGACCAGTAACGATATTTATAATAGATCTGAAAAGATCGACATGAGAAAGGTTACATGGTTCACAGTTGTAACCAAATTTAATCTAATTAAAACATTTCATATTTTAAATGAGAATAATACCACAACCGGATATACAGGAAATTGATTCGTTAATGACTTGTGGAGTCACCTACACAGACGTCAATGATATGATAACATATACAAACTATGAACCCATTCGTATAATCACAATAGAATCAGCATGAATTGGTTACTTTCTTTTACAAAGTTTTGACAGAAAAATTTAATTTAGAAAACTAATATGCGGTAATCTTTTATTATACGAAAATAAAACATTTTTTGGAGGAATATTAATTGTTTTTACATAAATAGGGATGTACTGTAATTACTTTGGCGCGCACTTAACCTAACATTATGACATTAAAATGACATTTACCGAGGGTTTTAAGTTATCAATTCAATTAAAGGCTATTCTTTAATAGTTGAATCAAGGGAAACTTTAGTTTGACCAACACTGGGACATTAACTGAATTTTTAACGTTACCAATTCAATTAGAATTATTATTTAATAGATGGCGGGTACTTAACCTAACTTTGACCAACACTAGGACATTAAAATTCCATTTACCGATTGTTTAAAGTTACCTATTTAATTAAGAGTATTCTTTAATATGAGAGTGATGTTTAAAAAAAAAGCAGAAGCATAAATTGTTTATCTATAATATATAGTATTGTTTGAAGAAAAGATATTTATTTTCCAAGAATAATATAAATATTAGCTCGAATTCCACACGAGGCAAGTAGTAATAAATTATTAGATACATATTATCATATTTACTTAACCTTTCTGACAGAACCAATACATATACCAGTTTGTTCGTTATTTAATTGTTACTGTATTTTGTGTAGGTACTCACGTTGTTCTCCATAGCGAAATCATGAAAAAAACTGCACAAAACTCCATGTTTTCTGTCTAAAAAACACCACACACACCACAAGCATGTAATCCAAAATGTCTTCTTGTTGTAACATTTAACTTTTATCTGTTCTTACGTCACCAGATAGCACCAAATTTGAACAACATTTTGTACTAATAATAACTTGGCGATTTTTCTCACCTAGACAAAAATCGCGTTACATTAACGTTTCGTAATGTATTCGATACGCTTACGCTTACATCGCAATACTAACACTATTGTCTGTGATTTAGACTACAAAAAAGTGCAATTTGAATAAAATTCAACATATTTACTGTCTAAATATTGAAATAAGGTTATCAAGGCTTTTTATCACTGTCTAATTTAAGGCTAGATAAAGAAACAATGCACACAGACCTAAAATTGACCCCAAACACTATCGGGGTTGAATTAATAAGAAACATAAACGCCAGTGTACAGTGTAATGTGAGTGATTTTAAATGCGTTTTATGCAAAACTTGCAAAGTGATCGAAATATATTTTAAAACGTCTGTTCTAGATTACACTAATTAGTTGTTTATGATATAAAAATAATTAGATAAGTTTAAGTCATAAAATGACTACAAAATTACAAAATAGTAAAGTGAATCTAAAGAAATTAACATAGGAGTACCTCGAGATAGCAAACAAGCTGAGGGCACAGAAATATTTGGATAAATTTATTCATGGAATAAAATTGCAACGAAATTATTATAATAATTATGCTTTTTAAAGTAGTTAAGTGAATCAAACGGTAGTGTACAAGGTCCATTACTCTACCTAATGTATACCAGTGATATTGCTGGAAAGGTTTTATCGAAAAGACACAGAAATATTCATCGGAACTTATACGACAATAAAACCTTTACAGCGATAGTATTTTTAATACAAATCAATATACGGTACTTTATTCTGAAACACCCTGTATTTCGCCCTGTATATCGGCGATTGTCTCGATATCCTTATTCAGTCATCAGCATCATCAGCGAAATCACAGGCACTTTTAACGACACCATTATCTAGCAATCTTATACCCAATAAACGGGTGTTCATTTGTTATTGGGGTTCACGGTTTTACACCGGGCCACCAACAAGGAAGGGTATGAATGAATGTATGAATAAAGAAGACACAGCTGTGACCCATAAGCCATAAGAGTGCAAGTGTTCACTCTCCGCTTTGGGAAACTTATTAAAATATACATACAATGCAACTGTATGTAAAGAGGGAAATACAATTTTGACGTATTTAAAAATATACAATTAATTTAAAATCGTAATCAGTGATTATTAAATTAACAAAAAAGAAAAGATATCAAGACTAAATATATTCATTAGTACGAAAAAATCCGTAAGCGCCACCACACAAATTATCTACTTTTACAGGTTTTTTACATAAAAAAATTTGATGACAGTATGTAATGGGCCACTTGGGAGCCCCACACTACTCCACTTTTTTGACGTTTTAAGATTTAAAATAAAATTAAAAGCGCTAAAAACGTCGAAAACGTTGAAAAACATTGATAAACGTTGAAAGACGTTGAGAAACGTCGAAAAACGTCGAAAAACGTCGAAAACGTAAAAAAATGTCGAAACGGCTGGTAAAAAGTGGAGTGGTGGGGGGCTTCCAAGTGGCCCATTACCTACCTACCCACACAAATTATCCGTTTACAGGTTTTTTACATAAAAAAAATTTGATGACAGAAGGTAATGGGCCACTTGAGAACCCCTCACCACTCACTTTTTGACGTTTTTTTTTTTAATAAAATCAAAAGCGCTAAAAACGTCGTAAAACGTTGAAAAAAAACGTTGAGAAACGTTGGAAAACGTCAAAAAAAACGTCGAAAACGGCAAAAAACGTCGAAAACGGCTGGTAAAAAGAGGAGTGGTGGGGGGCTCCCAAGTGGCCCAAGTGTAAGAGTGAGAGGTACAAATTCAGTAGGTAAGAGTGAAACAGACTGAGTCGAACAGAAAAATCATGCTATTGCCAGAAGGGCCTAAAACTTATATCTTTGTTATTACTGGTCCAATTCAAACGGGAAAAACGGAATTATGTAGAGAACGCGGTATAGATTAACGTCGAACATAAAAATCATGCACAGAACGAAAAGCCAGAAGGACCTAAGCTTCAATGTCCGTTATTACTAGTCCGATTCTAACGGGAAAAGCGGTATTATGTAGGGAACGTGATATAGATTGACGTCGAACAAAAAAATTATGCGCAGAACGAAAAGCCAGAAGGGTTTAAGCTTCAATTTCCGTTATTACTAGTCCGATTCAAACGGGAAAACGTTGAAGAGACATTTCGTTTGACGTTTTCGTTTGACGTTTCCGTTTGATGTTTTCGTTTGACGTTTTCGTTTGAAGTTTTCGTTTGACGTTTTCGTTTGACGTTTTTGTTTGACGTTTTCGTTTGACGTTTTCGTTTGACGTTTTCGTTTGACGTTTTCGTTTAACGTTCTCGTTTAACGTTTTCGTTTAACGTTTTCGTTTAACGTTTTCGTTTAACGTTTTCGTTTAACGTTTTCGTTTGATATGTTAGTTTGACGTTTTCGTTTGACGTTTCGTACTTTAACTAAAATAACTACTACTACAGTCAGGTTGGTCGAGCGATCTAACATAAGTCCATCCTCCGAATAGTCAGTATTGAGATATCTAGCGAAGAGAATAGACGTAGGATTGAAGAGTTTGGTGTAAAAGTTAGAGAACTAAATAGAGACATAAAATTATATAAAGATAGAAAACCAGTTTTAAGAGATTTAAAAAATTTAAGTCTTTGGGATAAAGTCTTTGAGAGATATCATCCTAGACTGCTTAGAAGAATCCAACTAACGCAAATATGGCCATCTTAAAGGCTAATTTCATTATACTTACTGCTATATTAAACAACGTGCTGTATACAAACGTGCCGAGTGGAATACAACAAATGGCGATACGTTTTGACAATCAAACAGAATGGGGAACGATGAATTTCTCAATGGTAAATAATATGAAGCTAAGTACGTTTTCCATAGCAATCGATGAAGCAAAGAGATACAAATTAAAATTGATTTTTAATGATGCGACTGAAGGAGAACTAAAAAATTGGCAGAATATAGCAACTCCACCAGCACCGATCGATTTGAGTGACATGCCAGAGCCTGAATATTATAAATTATATATAGTTAGTTGTATAACATTATCATCTACTTTGTTTATAAAATTCAAAATTATTGTAAAAATTATAAATAAAAAATTTTACTCTTCTTATAAAACATAAATAAATTTTGACATATTTTGATCACAGCAAGTGTCTAAATGATCTCATCTCATCATAGTATTTTAAATGCACCCTTAAAGAATTTAATTAATTGTAAATACATAAGTGAGAGTTAGTGTCTACGTATTTTCCAAAATAAAAAATCGAATCTGCGTATAGAATACAATCGGCAGAAGTTCGGTTTCATTAGAGGATGGTAATCCGAAATATTAGGGGCGGTTACAATGCTTGAACCGTTGTTAATCTCTCTACTAAACTTGCGTTTAATGAACAGAGACACGTGACAGTTGCACGCGTCCCGGCAGCCTCCGATTGCACATTTTCAATCATATCTGATAGCGATATTCGATATTAAGTCTGATGTTGCACTTGGCTCGTTAATTTTGACATTATTTTAATAAATGATTGAATGGGGTTGTAAAAAATGTGTACGGTGGGAGTGCAGTGGTGGGTGTAGTGTGGCAATTGCAATGACAAATACTAATATAACATATTTATAATTTTTAATAGTCGTATTGATATTTTAAATCTATTTTTAAAATATAAGAAAATTTTAGGTGAAAAAAAAAATCCTATTTATATAGAATTCCGGCCATAGAAAAATTGTGAAAGTCAGCAAGTAGGCAATAAATTATAAACGATTTATTAAATAAAATTCGTTAAAATTAGTGATGACGCGAGACGAGACGAGACAAGAGAGAGTCGTCTCTCATCTCGCAGGGCAAGAGGAAAATGTTCTCTCGTCTCGACGAGAAGGCACTTCTCTTGCTCGAGAGAGCCTTTTTCTCGTCTTGTCTCGTTTTTCTCATGATAAAACATATCAAATTTAAATTTGGAAAAGATATACTTAGAACGAAGCATGAAAAAACTGTAAAATTTTGAAGACAATAAAAAATAATATTTCAAGTAATTTGTCTCATCAGTACCTAAACTGGCAATAAGAGACACTTAGGGAATTGCCTCGGTGTCGCTCTGTCACAGTCGTTTTACTTAGAGACTATTTGACATAAACAATTGAAATTTGATGTAATCAATGGCCCAAATTAGGCGTTAAATAAAAATGTAAATATTTGGAGGTTAGTTGGGGAGGAGGGTTTCATTTGGAAGTTTTTTTGATGCCATCGTGTAATATCAAATGAAAGCATTTTGAAGCATGTTAAAAATATTTTATACGTTCGTGTGTTTTACTTTTTCTTTGACAATTTTTCGAAAAAAACCTAAAAATTGCCGTCTTTTGCATTTATCTCCAAAAGTAACCTACGAAAAATTTGACTGAATGAAAATTATTACGATTCTGTCCGTTGGATAGTTTTTTGTATAAAAAAAGAGCTAAATCTATCAACCAATCAACTCTAATTAATTTAAAGCATCTACGGTATGGAACACTATTTTGTCTCTTGTCTGGAATAATTTGCGATATAAACGTTTGCTATAGGTTACCAACAAGTTGTAGGTATAACAAAATCTGAAACAAAAGTTGTGTCCCAAAAAGTTTTACACAAATGAAAGAAAGTTTATCTTACATTTCAGAAAAAAAATCTTGCCAAGTTCTACATCACATCGAAATGCATAATCAAGCATCAAATTTGATGAAAATTTAAAAATGGCTAATATACATTTATCACTTATAAATTACTTGATAGAAACGAGAAATTCTCGTCGAGAGATGACACTCTCTCGTCTCGAATCTGTTTTCGAGAGAAAATGTCTCTCTCGTCTCGTTCGAGACGAGACAAGACGAGACGAGAGACGAGAATCTCTCGTCTCACGGCTCTAGTTAAAATCGTGGATCAAAATTCATATCGTGTAAAATATTAACTAAAAATTTTGTTTAAAAATATATATTTTTAGGAAATGCTCCATAGAAATCTGAATTTATAAATTATTTGG